GAAGAGAGAGAGAGAGAGAGAGTGATGAGAAACATACCACGCATGGATCTTAGGCAGAAACTTGTTCTTCTTTCTCTGATAATCTTTCTCATTCATGTTAACCTGCATATGAAATTACTCCATAATGATATTTTTTTATTGTTTTACTTTTACATACTGAGTCTCTCTGATTTAATAAAATCAAACCTTTTCATTTGTTTATAAATATTGGCAAAAGAAATATGATGAGCTGATAAAACACCAAAAGAAAACATAACAACCTCCATGAAGTGAAGTAACAAAGTATTCAGTTATGGCCTTGTGAATCCCTAGTAGTTTTAAACTAATTTTTAAAATCCAAATACCTGACAGAGGTTCCAATACAATGGTAAGTTTGCTTGATGGAAGAAGTATAGGCAAAGGTAGGATAAATCCTCTTTTGTAGTACTCATTATCTTCCATTTCCACCAAATTAAAGGCTTACTAAGTTCCAATTCGGACTCTAAAGATGACACATGTGCACGGGCGCACGCGTGCACACACACACACACTCACATACACCTACATATAAATAAGTACTACAAACAAAGGAACTCGAGTTCAGTCCTAGTTAGCCAACTGATGTCAAGTCCCATAATTAACCAGAATTTAGGGCATGTTGGCATGCACTCGTTATCATTAATAAATCACTGTAACGCTGAAAATACTCAGTATAAAGATAGACATATTTGTTGTTTGGTAGCACACCTAATAAAATTATCTGTGACATGTTTTGTTTGTTCCATATAACTCAATCACTTGAAAGCAGTTTTTACTTTATTCAATATAAAATTATCCTCTTGTTTGGGCTTTGGGTTTCAGATGGAAAGCGAACATCCTCTAAGTTTAGAGACGGGTGTGGTTTCATCCTGAGCTTGCATCTGTATCTTCTATACTATTTTCCTCTTGTATCTCCACCTTTTCTCTCTGCGACTCTCCTGACAATTTTTTTTAAGAGAGATAATGCTCAAACCAGGCATTCATGAAAACCAACAAAACCTCAATTTTGGTCTACAGATTCCATGTATGTATCAGTCAGATCAAATTCTTTATTGCCCTAGAAAGGATGATAAGCTGGCTGTTTCCTCGCAGGTCGCTTGGATGGCTGCCTAAAAATTTCAAGATGGTAATGAATTTCTCTATTGTAAAGCTCCATGGTTGTTGAGGTGCATTGAAATAGGCAACCATGCAGCACTCGATTTCTTCCATAGCCTAATCAACATCCCACTGCTGAAGATTAACAACCACCCTGCCTTCAATTGTTTGTAAGGGGCGAATGGGGACAAATCAAATTTGAGATTTGAGTTTCTTGCCTGCAACTATTTCATCACCATCATTAAAGCCTTTTCCCAACTACTTGGGGTTGGCTACACAAATCTTGATCTGCCATTCTGCTCTATTATGAGCCACATCCTCAATGAGGCCATAAGTCCCCCACGTCTTTTCTCACTACTTCCAACTATGTCCTTATGGGCCTACCCCTTGCCCTTTTTGAGCCATCCACTTGAACTTACTCGTACCTTCTAACAGTTGTTGTACTGGGTATGTAGCACACATGGCCAGTGCACCTAAGTCCACTTTCCTTCATCTTATCACGTATTGGTACCACACCTAAATTCTCCCAAATGTATTCATTTCGAATTCTATCCCTTCTTGTCTTTCCACCCATCCATCTCAACATCCTCATCTCAACTACACTCATTCTATGAGTATGTTGTTTCTTGACAGCCCAACATTCTGCCCCCATAAAGTAAAGCTGGTCTCACAGCTGTCCTATAGAAATAACCTTTCACCTTCATTGGTATATGCGGACATCACATAAAACTCTGACTGCACATCTGCACTTCGCCCACCCAGCTCTAAATCTATGTGCGACATCTTCCTCAATCTCTCCATTTGCATGGATTATCGATACAAGATATCGAAAGTGCGCTCTTTTTTGTGTTTCTTGTTTGTTAATCTTAACTACTTCCTTGTGTCTACTCCTATTATTACTAAACTTACATTTCATATACTTTGTCTTAGTCTGGCTAATTATAAAACCTTTAGATTCTAGAGCATCCCTCCAAGTTCTAACTTTGTGTTGCCGCCGTTTCGGGTCTCATCAATCAAAACTATGTCATCCGCAAACAACACACACACGATACCTCATCTTGTAGGTGTGTAGTTAAGTCATCCAGGACTTAGACAAAGAGGTATGGGCTCAATGTTGACCCTCGATGTAGACCTATTGTCATTGAAAACTCACTCCTCTCTTCACTAGTTGTTCATACACTAGTTCGCACTCCCTCAAATATATCTCTCACCAAGTCGATGTAGTGTCTTGAGACTCCTTTCTTTTCCAACACCTATCAAATAAAATCTCTAGATACTCTATCATAAGCATTCTCTATGTACTATATCATAAGCCTGCAACTATTTCCATAATTTTGAATATTCATTGGAGTTTTGTCCAGCTGGATCTGTTCTTGCAGTGCAAGTCTAATCTGAGTTTCACCCATTGTTTCCATAGCCGTGGCTGAGATGGTTGTTTGTGATTTGCTGGGGCAGAGGTGATGATGGTGGAAATGGGTGATTGTGATGATGAGATGATGATTGACTGCAAAATTAATTTTGGGGGTGAAAGGCTGTGCTGGTTATGATGGAGGGCTGTGATGGTACTAGGGGTTCAATGACCTGGTGTTGGCGCTCATTGGTGATGATTGCGGAGGTGGCGAGGATGGGCAATTCATCTCAACCTAACCAGCATCTCTCTAATTCTAGAATTCATCACAATTACAGGGTCGAACTCGCAAAAATAGCAGAAGACCCATCTCAAAACCCAACTCACAAAAAGAATAGGAAAGCCATAAAAATTGCCACTCTAGCTCATTGATTAATCAGATGCCACATTTGAAGAGCGGAGTTTAACTCCCCTAAATCTTGTATTGCAGGGACCAACAATAATTTCCAACCTTTGTTTAGTGAAGTTAGCAATGTTTTTTTATTGTCCCCTGATCAATAGTGAAGTTCACAATCGTGAAATAAAATATAACAAAAAGAACATAACCCATCACGGTTAACATTCTCAAAAAAAAAAAAAGAACATAACCCATCAATGCAAAAGGTCATTTCTCTTTTTTCCTTTTCAATTAATGACCAAGAGTGATAATTCAATATAACCTATAATTTTTGGGGAGAGAGATTGAATCTCACTAATTGACATTCTCTACTTGATGCATGCATAATTCTTCTAAGAAAAAGTGTTTTATGAGTCAGCAGACTCACTAGCCCGCTGACTCACAAATGTTCATCTTTAAGATGAACGTCCACAACTAAAGATTCCTATCCAATAGATAGGAAAAAAAATGTTTTAAAATTTTATTTTATGTTATTTTATTTTTTATATTTATGATCATCATAGTGTAGATCATGGATCTCTACAAATTTCGATCCAAGATCGATATAAAAAATAGGAGTTAGAGGGAGCCCGCATGAGAATAACATGAGTCAAGGAACTCATAAAAACCGGGTCCCTCTTATTCCAGATGCAGTTTGGATATTTAATATTTTTATAGTCAATCTTAATGTCAGTTGATAGAGCTACCTTCTACACACTCTAATAGGAATAAAGAATTGTGGATGGTAAACTAAAAGCGGCTATGCAACTTCTCCTTTCAAGATCCAAACCAAGAGAAATGAGTCAAGTTGGATAAACGATCAAGTTGGATAATCGATCATGAACACATGCCTTCTAGCTCTCACTAAGTTTATAACCTTTGACTATGAGACAAGAAAAATAATAAGGGACGAGAAATATTAAAACATAAATCTATGAGACAGAAGGCAAAGTAACTATCCTCATATTTGAGAAACAATAACTTATAAATGCCTTACCAAGTAAACAACAGGTTTTGCTGTAAGCAACTGAAACGAATTAAAGATCTCAATCTCAGTAGCTTTCCAGTCCCCAAGCCGAACATCCTTACCCTCCTCAAGCCATGCCTTTACCTGCAGCATCCAGGCACTGGGACAATCATTCCACTCATGATCGTTCAAACCTTCCATGACATTTAGCATTATCAAGGGATCGAATATAAAACTGAAGGCCAAGTCTCCTATTTGAACTTAACCATGATCATCAAGCATTATCTTATAAGCCATCACTAGAAGGATAATTTAATCAAGTCCAAAATATGTTAACCATCACTATATTTATGTCTCTATGCTACCAGACGCCTCTTCAAATCAACCAAAGAAAACAAGAAAAAAAGAAAAAAAAGGAAAAAAAAGAATGCCCCCTCAATCCTCATCATCTCTTTGGGGTGTTCTTCCAACATTTTCCGCTTTCAGTCATGTTGTATTTCACGTTCATTAATGAATAATGTCACCACTATATATATATGAAGTGAAATGGTCTTTTCATTAGCATTATATGTGGCTAAAATACACATCAAGCACATATAAGTACCTGACATATCAAAAATCATAGCATGCCTATACAAAAATAGTAGAAGAACCTTGAAAGCATTAAAAAGAATGGCAGAAAACTAGACAGCAAATACCCTCTCCCACATAAAGCACAGTTGCAACGGTCTCATGAGCACAATTATGTGATTAAAGAAGGAAAGAGTGCCGACCCTTTAAAGTAGGACATCTCAAAGAGTTGACAAGCTTCTCTCATAGAGAAGATAATTTGAACATTTTCAATTTATAAGTACTCATATGATTTCTAGAAGTCAAGATTTAGCTGCGAATAAGTGAGCCAGGAAAACAGTAAAAGCCCATCAAACTTTTACCAAAGATTGCTTTTTTGACAAATTAAGCAGAATTAACAATGAGCCAATAAGAAGAAATTCAAAGCAGTAGTGTTACTACCGGATTATTTCAACTTGAGCCAAAATCACAACTACATCCCATTAGAAGTTATTCATGAAACCATCACATATTAATCATAAATGAGTACTTTTGGAGGCAAATAAAGATCCAGAGTGGCCCCCAAAATGCAAGATATTTTCTATAAACATTTGCTTCAGGATAACACTTATGAGAACTTGCAACCTCTTTTCAAGACTCTCAGATGTGCATCAAATTTGCAAGCCATTGCAGATTGTATGGACAAATAACATCTTCATAGGCTTTACCCAACCAACATTATTTTATGGGGCGGAATGTTGGACAATCAAGAACAACATACCCATAGGATGAGTGTAGCTGAGAGGACGATGTTGAGTGGATGTGTGGCAAGACAAGAAAGGAGAGGATTCGAAATGAATACATTCGGGAGAACTTAGATATGGCTCCAATTGGCGATAAGATGAGATAAAGCAAACTTAAGTAGGTTGGGCATGTGCAGTGCAGACCTAATACAACCCCTGTTAGAAGGTGCGAGTTGGTTCAAGTAGAAGGTTCAAAAGGGCAAGGGTAGGCCCAAAACGGCATGGTTGGAAGTAGTGAGAAACGACATGGGGCCTTATGGCCTCACTGAGGGTATGGCCCTTGATAGAGCAGAATGATGGACTAAGATTTGAGTAGCCAACCCCAAATAGTTGCGAAAAGGCTATGATGATGATGATAAGCTTTACCCAAAAAAAAAAAGAGTCTTCATAGGCTTTCTCCAACCTCGTAGTTGGAAGACTGCCCGAAAATTATCCTGCTTTAAGTTTGATTCATCAAACACTAAGGAAATGCAGTCAGAAGCCTCATAACTATGCACATCTCAGGTTTAGAAAAAAAAAAAAAACCAAGCTTGAGGCCACATCCAAAAAGTCATTGTTTCCCAATTCAATCAATCTAATCCAAGTTTAATATATTCTGGCCTTTTCCAACTGCTATTTTGATCTGCTTCAAACCAATTTTATATTTTGATCTGCTTCAAACCAATTTTGACTTAAATTGGACCATCTCACCGCCCTTAATACACCCATATCCATGCTAACATGGTAAGAGACAGAGCAAGGATAACATTGAAAGTGTTAAATAAAGAATTTAACAACCAAAGTGTACTCACCCAACAAAAAAAAACAACCAAAGTGAAAATCTACCTTTTCACAACACTCATGTTCTATTTTCAACTGCTTGTCATTGCTCCTCTTCATGCTCTTCTCAAGATCCTCCAGCTTTCTTTCCATAAATTCTATGTCCTGAAATTCATCTCCAAAAATAAAGACTATTAGTTCCTCTCCAAGATGTATATAGCATATGCTAGTATTTGTGTACATTACGAATGTGTCAATGTGCACATGCATATTGACTCTGCATGCGCACACACACAATGGAGGTGAAAAACAAGGTATGTTAGCTCCTATCAGCATGTACAGAAGCACTAATCACATTTTAAGTTTTCACTAGTCATTGAAAAATAATTACTCTCCCATTTACCAAACAGAGCTTCAAATACGTTCCTTAGCAAACAGTATTCAGGACAAAAAAGAAAAGGCTCTTATTTTCTATTTCTTTTTTATTTGTAGATAAACTATCATAAGCCATGCCATAGGCTGCACATTGATCTTCTGCCACATTAACGATAATAACAGATGATGAAATATGTATCGTGGAAGAAGCAAGTATCCACATATATTAGCAGTTGTATAATAACTTCCAAGAGACAAAAGAGTTCATCAAGTTCATGAATAAAGCTGACGATTTCATAAAGCTTCAGGAGGATTTCATTTAGACTAATAGTATTCGCAAAGACTTGAAAAATGCCTCCAGAAATTTGGCATCTCAAAACCAGAAAACTAACAATTGTGCATAATATTCATCTTATATACAGATTATAGTAAAAACATGGGAACTGAAGTAGGATATTTTGGATCTTTTTAAACTCAGTGCCATCAAAATTTAACATTCAGTGTGTGTGCGTGTGTTTTGAGAGTGAGAGAGAGAGACCTGAACCTCACTGTCGAAGCTAATCTCAGCAAATGAAAGAAATGAAAAACAATGTAATCTTTCTAGAACACATACATAAAATGCATCATACATGCAGCAGACCAGTATAACTGATTTTTATAGATTAATCATTTTATTTACTATGTAAAGTTACAATTGTAAAAGCAAAGGAAATTTTTTGGAGGTGTGGCAGTAGTTACGAAATGAGATTCCTCATCATGATTAAGGAAATTGGGAGATAACATTTTGTATGTATGACTTATGGTCGCTTCAAACATAACACTCAAAATACCAAGTTATCATGAGTTCACAACTCAGATTGGACAAGCTTACTTTCAACCGTAGCTCTAGACTTATGACCTCCAGATCCCTAACTGGATCCACTGAATCATCCACATGAATAATATCCGGATCTTCGAATGCTCCTACAAGATGAAACAAACATAACTTATCTGCATCCACTAGACATAAGGAATGCTTATCGAAAATAAGAGATGGTTATATTTAAACAAAACTACTACAAGCAAAACAGTTATTGCAACATTGGTGCATGACAACCATTGCAGTAACAATTTTTGCACCCAAAATGTAAATACATGCACATGTTCCAACATCACACAGATGTTAGGTTTCATAAATGCATTTAGACCACTTAGCATTTGCCAGAATTGCCTCGTCAAAGATATGGACCAATATTTAGACCACTTAGGGCTAGAGGGATTTCAAGCAAATGTTGGCCCTGCCTTCATATACCCAGACCCCTTGAAACATCAAACCTTGTCATACTGTTACTTTGACCCCAAAAACAAAGACAGCATTGGAATTTAAAACTACCGAGCTTCAAAGCTTCAAATGCAAAAGAAAATCCTGCTTCCAATTTCAAAACATTAGACTACTATTAGTTGGCGAAGGCTGAAGGGGCAGCATTGGATTTCTTAAACATTCAAATATAAAGGTGCTCACAGCAAATTCAAGTCACTAAGATGGATGTGCCCATAAACGTGAAGCAACTAAAAACAGTTATATGGTGGCACACCTCTTGTTTCTAAAGCATAAACCTATGTCACAGAAAAGAAGGAACAAAAGAAGCATTGACATGTATGATACTTTATATCATTACTTTTTATCATTTCAAGAGAGAGAAGTGTTATATAAAGAAACTTGACATTGTAGCACTTGATTGTGGCGACATTCTTTTAAGAGAATTGGATATGGTGAAAATATTTTTGTTATTTCAAAATATTGGAGAGTTGTTAGTCTTAGAGGAAAATGTGGAAGAGGGATAAGATCTTCCCAGTTTAAACCACAGTGGAAAACAAAAAGCACCCAAGAAAAGGATACCTTACCAATAACAAAAAATCAATACAATAATTTATTTTTTTAAATTGAAAAAATCAGTACAATAATTCTCTTATCGAAAGCTCCAGAACCCCACAAAATTCATAGCAATAAAGAGTTGTTTTCATATTATCATCGCAGGAAGCTAAACCTGGCAATGCACTGCCAAGAAACATCGATTCATAAATTACAACGAACTACATTACAAAAATGAATAAATAGCCAAAACGTGGTGTGGATTGCCAACATTTCACAACCAATAAATTGCTCTAGAAAACTTAGAAAACAACTAAGTTCCAGAAGTTAGATTCCCATACCATTTTTTTTTCTGTTTTTTGTTAAGCTAAGTAAGCTTTGTTTGTGTGAGGGACAACTATCAAAGATTCAGCCTCATACAAATCAATGGCTCCCCCATAAGATATGATGACCTTGTGTATGGGTGTGTGCTTAATTATGAATATATAAGGACGAAAGTATGCATATACATATTTATGAGCATAGGGAGCATAGTATATTATCCCCCATGGATGTGTTACGATGAGACTGTAAATTCAAAAGTTATTTGATTAAAGAACATACTTAAGACATGGAAAATCCCATCAACTGCACGGATGTGAGATAAGAAGCTGTTCCCCAATCCTTGCCCTTCATGAGCTCCTCGCACTAGGCCAGCTATGTCATGTATTTCCAAGAAAGCTGATACCTGGCCAGCATGAATAAAACAGTACAAGAGAGACGCTATTAATTAAGAAGCAGGAACAGATTTTTTTAAATAATAATAATAACAAATTGATAGAGTAGCATAGAGGTATAGATATCATGTGTAAAAATCTAAAGGCGATGACCATCCCTGACAGAAAGCCCCCAAAAGAAGCAATCGAGTTTACATCAGACAAAACTTCCAACAAGATAAGTTCACATTTGACCACCTACAACACATGGCCCCAACCCCAAAAACGTAGGAGTAATGTGAAATTTCTGGATCATCTAAAGCTCAAAAAACTGCTCCAAATGAATTCCCCTCAAAGACTATTATGAACCATCCGTTTGATTCTTTTTTGCGAATTATTTAATAAAAAAATTCAAATCAACTCCCTGCCTATGTTTTTTGGGGGCTAGACGCCCTAATTATGTGGGGGGACTAGAGTGCATGATATTTTCCCATTAATTAATAGCTGATGATAATTATCCATGACTTAATGATCATTGTATCATTAAACGAAATTAATAATCCTCTATAATTGTGGGCATCACCTACATTAAGGTAACAAATTCATATGTCAAAAATTGATATAACATGTATCAATGTACAAATGTGCGCATCCTCTACAAAAGACCTTCAGAAAGATGCAACCGTGAAGTTCACAGAAGACACAAGCTTGAACATAAAAAGTTAATAAATAGAGCCTTTTCCTAACTAACTAGGGTCGGCTATAGAAATCTTGGTCCGTCATTTTGCTCTATTAAGAATCATAGCCCTAGTGAGGCCACAGGTTCCCATGTCTTTTCCCACTACTTCCAATCATGTCCCTTTTTGAGCCTTCCACTTGAACTAACTTGCACCTCCTAATAGATGTTATACTGGGTCTGCGTTGTACATGGCCAGCCCACCTATGTCTACTTTCTCTCATCGCCTATTGGTACCACACCTAAATTCTCCCGAATGTATTGATTTCGAATTTTATCCCTCCTTGTATTGCCACTTGTTCATCTCAACAGCCTAGCATTCCACCCCATAAATCAAAGTTAGTCTCACAACTATCCTATAGAACTTACCCTTCAGCTTTATTGGTATGTGGCGATCACATAAAACTTCGATTGCACATTTCCACTTTGCCCATCCAATTCTAATTCTATGTGCGACATCTTGCTCAATCTTTCTATTTTCCTGGATTTTTGACCCAAGATATCGAAAGTGAGCTCTTTTTGGTACTTTTTACTGTCAATCTTAACTACTTCCTCTACTCCTATTATTATAAAACTTGCATTCTATATACGCTGTCTTAGTCCGGCTGCTTTTAAAACCTTTAGATTCTAGAGCATCCACTAAATTTCTAATTTTGTGTTGACACCATTTCGGGCTCGTCGATCAAAACCATGTCGTCCGTGAATAACATACACTACAGCGGTACCTCATCTTGCACGTGTCTAGTTAAGTAGTCCATAACTAAGACAAAGAGGTATGGGCTAAATATTGACCCTTGATGTAGATCTATTGTAACTGACAATTCACCCATTTCTCCACTAGTTGTTCGCACACTAGTTAGAGCTCTTTCGTACATATCTCTCACCAAGTCAATATAATGTCTAGAAACTCCTTTCTTTTCCAACACGCACCAAATCAAATCTTGAGGTGCTCTATCATAAGTTTTCTCTAAATCAATAAAGACTATGTGGAGGTCGTTTTCCTTCGCCCTAAACTTCTCAATTAGTTGCCTAAATAAAAAAATAGCCTCGATTGTTGACTTCCCTGGAATAAAACTGAATTGGTTTTCTTATACACTCGTTTCATGCATTAGTCATTGTTCAATCACTCTCTCACAGCTTCATAGTATAGTTCATAAGTTTGTTCCCTTAATAGTTCGCACAATTTTGTGTATCTCTTTTGTTCTTGTAAATAGGTTCCACAATACTTTTCCTCCATTCATCTAACATTTTTTTGGTTCTCAAACACCTTGTTGAACAGCTTGGTCAGCTAGTCAATGCCAATCTCCTCCATGCACTTCCAGACCTCCATCGGGATACCACCTAGTCTTAAAGTCTTTCCTATCTTCATCCTCTTCAAAGCTTCTTTCACTTCTGATTTCCTAATCCTACGAATGTATCTATGACCTCCGCCCTCATTTATGCCAACGGTTCCTTCTACCGCTATGTTCCCATTATGTTTGTCATTTAATAGTTTTTTAAAATAAACTCTCCACCTTTCGTTAACCTCTTCATCATTCATCAAGATGCTTTGAACCCCACTCTTAATGCATTGAATATGGCCTAGATCCTTACACTTTTTCTCTCTCATTTCTGCTAATTTGAAGACAACCTTTTTGTCTTTTCTTGTTCCCAATTTGAAGACAACTATTTGTTTAGCGTTTTTCTTAGCATTTTTGTATTCTTCTAAGTTTAATCATTTCTATTACATTACCAAGTTTTATAACATGATCGTTTTTCACTTATGACTTTCTGAACATCATCATCAACAAAAAAGAAAATGAATGATTCTCATATTGACTAAAGAAAAACTAATGAAACCAACCCTCAAATAGGTTGAATAAAACCTAATGAAGCCTATGCTTAACACAACGAAACCCTTTTTTTTTTTTTTTGACTACCACATTGATAATATACCAGGAGATGCAAGTTGATATTGAGGGAGCTCTTCAAATGAAAGGGGTCACAAGTGTGCCAATAGTACCACTTAAAGGGAAACTTCTTGTGGGGAAGTATCTTCTCTGCTAAAGGTGAGTGGAAAAGGAGAACAAAATCATTTTTGAGAAAGAATCTTGCCCTTACCAAACCCTAAATCGTAGGGTACATCAAGGAATATTATAGCTAGAATCATTTCTCTAAATAGAATTGTTCTAGATGCCCATGTGCTAGGAAAGTCGAAAAAAATAGTAGCAAAATTTATTGAAGTCAACCCTCAATTATGAGAATAATGTACTACATGTTTCACTTCCAATCAAAACCATCTAAATAAGCAAAAGTAGAGTTAGAAAACTCAGCTCAGGCTGGGGACTCAACCCCTGACCAAGCCACGTAACTGAGGCGAGCCTGAATGTACTCACCGGAGTGAAGTACAAGCCCATAAAGGGACAAAAATTCAAGAAATAAATTTGGTGGAGAAAAAATAAGTAAAAAGAGTTAGAAGTCTTCAAAAGATGGAAAAAAATATAAACTCATGAGGCTTCTAGGATATTTTTCACTAAGACTATTTCCCCAATTTTAGAAGTGCATGGACCATAACATTCCAATGAGCTTCTTCATAGTAGAAAGATAAAATTCTATTCCCTAAAGTTTACTTTAGGCCACTAAACAAACAATTCCCCTATAAAAACTCACACATTAATCCTCAAATAAATAAAAAACAAAAGGAAAATCAAATCACATGTACACACACATTCAAAACGATTGAAAATCAACAATACAAACCTCACTCTTGGGCTTGTACAATTGGCATAGCCAATCAAACCGCTCGTCAGGAATGTTAACCCTTGCTTCATTGGGCTCTATGGTACAGAAAGGAAAGTTCTCGGCAGGAATAGAGAGCTTCGTGAGAGTATTGAAAAGTGTAGATTTACCCACATTTGGTAAGCCAACCTAAAATCAAACATAGTTTCACATAATCAATCCAATGAAAACACCATTCCATTCATTCAATGACAGCGATGAAGTACTAGGAATTACTCATCAACAAACCTATGAATTACGAAAAAAATACGAGTTACTCATCAAAACTTCAGTCAGATACTAATAAACTGGTTAAACAAATGAAAGCAAAACCAAACTTCGATAACCCAAACCATGCGCATTTATCTATGAATAATTCACCATGAAAGCTGATTCATCGGAAACTACAGCTGATTCTTCTAAACCTATAGAGCTCGGGAACTTTGTTGAATTAAAGAAAAAAAAAAGGCATCAAGGGTTTAACAGTGATCGTACAATGCCGATCTTGAGGTGAGAAGAGAAACGGCCCAAAATGGGGCGTTCAGCAGGAGTATCCTTCGCTTTAGAAGCCTTTGGAGGCATACTCACTGATGAAGATTAATTAGGGTTGTTTTCTCTCTCCAGCTAAGCAACAAAATGGAGGGAGAGAGAGTGAGGAGTAACAGTGGCCCTGGTTTTCTCTCTCAACTCAAGCAAGAGGATCAAGAGAGAGAGAGAGCTCGGCACCGCCAAATCCGATTGATTTTCACTAATTCTTAGAGAGAGAAAACCAATTCCGAATTATGGTGTCGAGGTCCCTCAACCAAATGACGAGAGGGAACATGCGAGGGGAGGTGGAGCTTATTTATTGGTAACCCTAGAAAATCGGGCGTTTTTTCGTTTGCTTTGCGTCGATTTGAAGTTTGTACGAGTGTTAAAACGGTGCGTTGTCATATTTCTCACTCGTGGATAATCACTTCATTGCAAAAATTTCAGTTGAAAACATCATTAAAATTTATGGTGAGATTGTATAAGGTGCCTACCTTATATGCTATATATTAGGCACACTTTAACATATTTATATGAAGCAGTTTCGGTATCAAAAAGCTTATAATGACCTAGAAATATATGTTAAATACAAATTATAAAATTTAAACTTCTTGAAATGGTGATTGTCGAGCGGATCCATAAGTACTCGAAAGTCTTAAAAATAGACAATTCAAGTAATTTGTTATAAGATATATGATTTTTAAGAATTAAATTTTTTTTTTCTTTAAATCTACACATCTAAAGATTGAGATGATAATTTGGAAGGTTTTCTAATGATGGAGTACTCTTTTTTACTGATTTTTTTTGCATACACCGTACGTCTATAGTATCAGGTTGCAACCTTATATATATATATATTTTTTTTTCTTAAAATTAGGGCTATAGAAAGGTGAGGTCAGGTCTATACCATTGCTAGACCGAACTAGGTCTAAGTTAGATCCAAAATTGGGGTTGGGTCCAAGCCCATGGGATCTGTAACCAACCCATTGGGTCTAGTGACAAATAAAAATTTAGTGTTGAAATAAAATATCAATTATGCGATAATGTAGTTATTAGAGGCCCATTAGGGCAGCTTAACAACCCTAACAAGAAGGGTGTTCTTTCTAAACAAAAAAACATGGAATAGGACAACTTACTTTTGATATAAAATGTTGCAAACTTTTTTAGCTATTAGATATGAAATCCGGCAATTGGGGGTGTATAATTAACCTTAAGTCAAAATTATTATTTTTTTAGCTTCGTGACATACCCCTAACTTTCGTATTTTACATCTGCCTCTATAAATAAATGATTGTAACCTTCTTGTATAAAAAATAAATAATTTGATAGTATACAATCCCCCATTTATGAGTGGAGAAAACCAAGTATTTCTTAATGCATGTCAACGTTGTGCCAACTTCCAATATTTTGTTAGTACAATGGGGGTTGTAAAGATAGGTGCCCATGAATGGTAGAGTAAATTGTCTGCTCAATATTTTGACATTAAATTTTAAATTCACAAAGTGAGTTTGATTTTTGTCCTTTATTTTGTGTTGGTCACTAGGTCAAATACGTTACGGTCAAAACATTTGTTTTAAAAATACTCCTAGATTGAGTATCCCAGGGAATAAATGGAGAGATCAGCCACCAATAATTATTATGGTTTTTTTTTTAACATTAATAAAATTTCACTTTAAGAATGAAAAGAAGAGTATAACACTGGACCGAAAATTAATTGAGGAGGGAAAACTAAAGGATGTCTTAACCAGTGTTTGATTACTCGGCCCGAATACTGAGAAGCCGGGCTGAGTACTCGGGCTCGGCATTCTGCTAAGCCCGAGTTAGCCCCGAGTCGGATGTCCACTTGAGGATATTAAAAAAATTTAAAAATATGTAAAAAATCCATAAAAACAAAACGTCTTTGTGAGATGTTTTTTTAGGTTTTCTATCATTTTTAGTAAAGATTGGAAAGTGTTTTGGAATAAATATTTACTTTCACATTTTTTATCTCTTTTGAAATTATTTAAAAAAAAAAACTATCACATGATTTTTTAAATTCCGTATTTTTGCTCTTTTTTTAACCTCGTTTTAAAGTGTTTCACTTAATATTACTTTAAACATGCATTTCCTTTTCTTTTTTTTATTTCTTTATTTTTTTATTTTTTTTAATTTTGTATTTTTTTTAACATTTTTCTATTGCTACAGTACATGGTGCTACTCAAGCTGAGTTATAGTAATGATAAAATATGCTTTGCATTCCAGACTCGAAGAAGTTACGACTTGATAGAGAAAGAAACCATGATGCAGATGCTTTGGTAACGAATGGGCCTCAGGCCCAACCGATGGTCACGACCATCTCTGTACACAGTTGACTCATGCAATCTAAACTTCTTGCTCTCTGTAAATCAAGTTCGGCAACAATAATGAATTTTCTCAAGTTAATGTTTAACAACAAGAATAAAAGAGCGTAGTATTGTTTAACAAGGTAAAGCCCCATCTTGAATCCTCGTTTAGAGAGCACTTTCGGCATCGGAAATATCTATATCAGAGGTCTAAAAACAATTTCTCACACCGAATATGAAATTTGAAGCTCAAAATATGGTATAGATCTTGTGGATATGTGAACACTTATTTTGAAGATGAAATGGACGGTCTAGATAATATACATTATTTTTAAAGCTTGAAATCTTTTTTTTTTTTTACAACCATGATTATCAAAGCCGAGATGATCGATTTGAATGTTCTCCGACACCAAAACTGCAATATTCGATAACTTTTCGAAGTGAGGCTTTACTTATTTTTCATAGGGCTGCAGCCCTATCAAACTATTTTCCATAAATAAAATGGTACACAGTTTGTATAAGGTGCAAAGCTTAAATATTGTGTTAAGGGATTGTCTACAAAAAACCATTTATCTTTTGTACATGGAGGTCACAATCATTTTTGTCTCTTAAATTTCAAAATGTGTTGTTGTGAAAGTGTAATTGAATAAATATAAAGTTCAAAAAACAAATAATTCTCGAACTTTGTGACTCATCCTAAGCCATCCAATTTCACATTTAATGAGTAAAAATGATTGTGACCTCTATATGCAAATGATAAATAGTCTACTGTAGACAATCACGTGTCAAAGATGCATTATTTTTAAGACTTAAAATCTTTTTTTTTTCATATCTATATATCTTTACATTGAATTTCAGCTTAATGCAAATTTCAGTTTCTAGCTCCAAAATTTCCCATTGTCAAATGCCCACTTAACGTAATAATAGTTAACAACGATTTCTTTTCAAATAGGGATTCTTTTCAAGTTTCAAATTGCGTTATTATGGATATTATTTTATTGCATTGTTTCAAGAACTCCAAAATATTGCTAGAAATCCATTTTAGCGAAATAAATATGAGATATACCCTTCATGGCACAAAAAAAAAAAAAGACGACAAATCCTTATTAAAAGGAAATTACGAAGCACTAAGCTCTTACATTTCATTCTAAAATATTGGTATGTCCATTTTACCGGAATAAACGTGAGATAACACCCTTTATGCTACTTAACACTAATACTGATCATCATAGTCATAGTTTTTTTCCAATTTTTTGGAGTCGGTTACATGAATTCTGGTATGCCATTATGCTCAATTAAAGGTCAAACCTTTGAGACCATAAGTTGCCATATCTTTTTCCACAACTTAATAACAACAAGAACAATAACAACAATAATAATTATTATAATAATAAGCCTTCATGGCACTTACTGTCATAAATTCATGGTAAAATGAAATTACCAGCACTAAGCTCTTATATTACATCCGTCTTTATGGAAGAGTTTATCACTACAAATATTCTCAAACAACAATAGTGGAAGCCAATTTAAAATTTAATAGTATGTTGGACTCCATATTTGCATACAGGTAGATCTCATTTATGAAATCAAAATAGAAATAATGAAATCTGATTACACAAAAAAAACAAATAGAAGAGAAATATAAGTGTGCTATTTTCGTTTGGATACATGCCGTTCATTTGGCGGATAATGAACCTAGGATTTCAAAATTGAAATTTTTAATAAAATTATTTATTTATTTTTATTCAAGGATCTATAAACTTTTATCCTCACAATGCCCTTTAATTGAATGTTTTTTGGGGTATGTTTACACTGAAAGCCCCCACCGGCCTGCCAAATCTTTTTCCTAGTAGCACCCCCGCACCTAGTTACCATGCACTAATTGACAACTTGAAAAAAAACTAGCTACCTAATCTATATGAAAAAACAGGTAGGGGCAATGCCTTTCCCCACTGAATTACCAAAAAAAAAAGGTCTTTGCAATCGTTATTTTGGTAACTTTTTATGCAAACTGTCTCTCCTTCTCTATAGGTAAAAGATGGCTGAAAAAATTTAAAATAAATTTAAGACATTATTATCAAATATTATCATCATCAAAACCTTTTCCCAACCGATTGAGATCAGCTATACGAATCTTGTTTCGTCATTCTACTCTATTAAGGGTCATACCCTTAGTGAGGGTATATGTCCTCGTATCTTTTTCACTACTTCCAACCATATTTTTTTAGAAAAATATCAATGAAAATATCAATACACCTCGAAAAATCCATGAATTACGTTAAATCTACTAATTCAACAACAAAGTGGTCAATTCTTAAAAATCATTTAACTTATGAGTAATGATCCTATGAGATCCTCACACACCCATGTGTATAAGATCTTAAAAGATCACCATTAAATTTGACACAGATATTTACAAAAGTTATCACAAGAGGTGGGACTTGACTTTTCTAAATATCTGTACTAAATTTAATGGTGATTCTTTTGGGTCCTACCCATATGGGTGTAGAAAGGTTTATACCTTCTAAGTTATCTTGCATTAAAAACAAAACCTTTCGCCCTTTGTTTGGGGTATGAAACCCGGAGGCATTTTGGCCCAAATGACTTAAATACCCATATTGTCTTTTGTTCCAAATAAGTTTACTCATTACAAAATATTATTCCAAGTATATAACCCAGACTAAGGAGGGGAACTTTCATCTTTTGGCTGGATGACTCGAGTGGTGCCAAATTCCAATGCCTTGTCTTTTCGTGTTCCAAACCCAAAAGTAAATTTTCTAATAACGAAAAAGGGGTGATTCAAGTTCCATAACTAGATCCCGTAGGGCTATGTGGTCATAGCTCAACTGACTTAAATATGTCAAACCAGTATTTCAAAACCTAGCGATCAAAATCAGGAATCACTAATCTTGACCAGGAATAGGCCAAGGGCAAGTATCGGAACCGGCTCAATCCCCCCCTAAAACTCCCTTTATAATATTTTATATTTTATATTTTAGTCTATCTAATATTTTTTTAAGTCCCCACCTAAATCCCTCCTATAACTCTTTATTATTATTATTATGATTATTTAATATTCTCTTGATCACAAATTCGTACTGATCTGTATCGCTAATTTAGCAATCTGATCCAGATTTGTGGGTTGGTCGATCCATCCACCAATTTGGGTTTTGAAACACGATTAAACTATCAAAATTCTTTCACTTGTTCAGGGTTATAACTTATATAAAATAACAGTGTTTTAAAATGCGGGATGTGGCGCTGATGCGATGGGGGGCCGATGCGCTCAAAGCGGCCCGGATGCAGGTGCATCGCAATGATACGGTCAATAAATGTAAAAAAATTCTAAATTTTTTTAAAAAATAAGTTAATGCATAGGAAAAAATATGAAGGTGATATATGTGATAGTAGGTATTTTAGTTTAATAATTAACTTCAAAACTATTAGATGTCGAAGATTCTGTATCCAGTTATCCACCCATATAAGTATTTCTACAGAGCAAGCATATCAAACAATTTATATCTTAAGGATTTTTTAGTTTAGCATTTTTTCAAACCGAATCCTTATTACTAGAAAATTGGGAAGAAGACATTGCCCTAAAAATATGTATAATAATAATATTGTACAAGAAGGAAAAATAAATAAATATTCTCTTGATCACAAATGCGTACCGATCTGGATCGCTGATTTAGCAATCTAATCCAGATTTGTGGGTTGGACGATCCATCCACCAATTCGGGTTTTGAAACACGGTTAAACTATCAAAATGCTTTCACTTGTTCAGGGTTATAACTTACATAAAATAACAGTGTTTTACAATGCGGGATGCGACCCTGATGCGATGGGAGCCGATGCGGCGATGCTCTCGATGCGGCCCGGATGCAAGTGCATCGCGATGATGCGGTCAATAAATGTAAAAAAAATCTAAATTTTTTTAAAAAATAAGTTAATGCATAAAAAAAAATATGAAGGTGATATATATGATAGTAGATATTTTAGTTCAATGATTAACTTCAAAACTATTAACTGTCAGATATTCTGTATCCAGTTATCCACCCATATAAGTATTTCTACTGACCAAGCATATCAAACAATTTCTATCTTTGGGATTTTTTAATTTAGCATATTTCCAAACCGGATCCTTATTACTGAAAAATTGGGAAGAAGACATTGCCCCAAATATATGTATAATAGTAATATTATACAAGAAGGAAAAAAAATTTACCAACTCTGTGAAGTACTGCTCGATTTCTTTATGACCTCTGAAACCCTCGATTTCTTATCACAAATTCACCCTAACATCTCCAAATCAACAATCAAATGCATCCAATGAATATCCAAGTATCAAACAACTGCCAAATCGAAGATTTCCATGAAAAAAAATTCCACATAATTTTTTATCTCGATTTGATACAAAAAAATCTTTATTTAAGGCCCCTAATACCCCCTAAACAGTTTTCCTAACATTTGGATGGTCAAAAAGACTACTTTGCCCCTCCTAGAGAGGCAAAAAAGAAAAAAAAAATCAACCGATACTGTAGCAGTAGGATGCGGTGCGATGCGGCCTATGCAGGATGCAGCTACGATGCGACCTATGCAGGATGCAGCTACGATGCGGCCTGATGCGGCGCATATGCGGCCGCATCTGTCAAAAGCGCATATGCGCCTGTTTCTGATGTGGATACGAGCGCATCCCGCATGTTGCAACCGCATATGCGGCGATACGGCCTCATTTTAAAACACTGTAAAATAATAATAACAACTTGGGTATGTTTTATAAACTCATATTCGAAGAGCATGATTTTTAAAAACAACCACTTCATTGGTATAATTATTGAGTTAACCATGATCATTGAGGTAATTTGACCATTTTAATAATATTCTCCCTTTTCTTAGTTTCTCTAATATATCAGCCCACTTATATGAAGATTATACAACAAGCAGATTACATAAGGTTCACACTATCTATACAAATAAAACGGAGCACCCCTTTGTTTTCCATGGTGTGATCCAACTTAAGAGTATCAAGTCAACACTACCATACTAGTGTAAATACTATACTGGCACCTTTATCATAGCAAGAAGCAGTTGTCTTCATGCTCTCTCTCTCTCTCTCTCTCGCTCCACTAACTATGCGAGCAGCATCTTACTTGCGAGGAAACAACAGAGCTGCTTCAGTGCTTGGAAATTTTCATTGTTGAGAGAGGCAGCAGTAAGGCGTTTGAGTATGGATTCCTCTGTGGCCTGATCAAATTCCAGCTTTGTCTTGAAAACGAAGTAGCCCACACATTCCCAAGCTGAAGGATTCGACCCAGTTTTGAAGCCCTGCACCATAGCCTCATTCTGGCCCTGTTTAAAAGCAATCCATTAAGAGGTTTACTCAGTTACTAGACCAATTAAGTGCATATAAGAAAAAGCATGAGGAGTACAACATTTGAATAGTCTGTATTACTTATTCCCATGACTAAAACTGCCATGAACCTTATGAGAGGGCCCAAAGGAACTTCTAACATAGTAGGACCCGATAACCAAAAAGTTTTGATGGCTTAAAACACACAACTAATGGACAGGACAAGAAAGCTGTGAATTGGGGTGCATTTTCTCAAGACATTCCCATGTTTTTCTTTGAATTTTGCTTTCTCAAGGAAAATAGATTTCGAACATGCTGAGCTATTTATTCAGAATCCTAATAACTCATATTATATCTTTAATATCAAAGCTGCTTAAAAGCTTTTAATGTAGAGAAGAGATGTCATCGTCTTAGGTCTCAAGAACTTTAAATCTCAGCACACCCCATTAGCCAGCACCAATGGAGTGGAGCATGGAAATGCACCGATAAACTAAATGACATGTGAAAAGTACAGAGTATCACATGATGAATTCACAACTACGATTTTACCTGGGGAAATAAAAATATCTTTGTACCGCAATCAGTTATCAAGAGTTTATGAGGGACATCCTGGTCCTGTAAACGGGAACAAACCTCAGCCACTAGACTGACCATCAATTTGAAGTTCTCCTTGCACTTAAACACCAAACCCTTAATAGGGTAAGATGCAATCTCAAAGATCTTCAGCTCAATATTCTCCCAATCACCTAATACAGGGATGACTGGAACCATCTCCACAGGTAAAGGATTTGCAAAATAGCAGGCCTGGATTAATCAAATCATCCACATGATGAACAAAGATAGATGAAAAAAGATAAACCCTTGAATGTATATATAGCAATATATAACATAAGATAAAAAGGAAATTAACCTCAAAATGCAAGTAATTTCCAGTTGTAGATGGATAAAAAGGAAATTAACCTCAAAATGCAAGTAATTTCCAGTTGTAGATGCTGCAGAACTATCATAAACAATTTGGAAAAAGCAGTTGTTAACATGAACAGCTATCCGTGCCGCAACTTCCAAAGAATTCAGATCCAGCAATTGGTGGAAACCACAAACAGCACTTGGAATTATGAAGACATGGCCGTATTCAATAGGATTTTCCTTGAAAAAGCATAGGAAAGGAAATAGGAAATAAGAAATAAGAAGAAAGCTATCAAGCCTAAGAAAATAGTACAGCAACAAAGAGAAAATTTTCCAAATAGAAACTCACATTTATAATGATTAAAGTGGCTTTGCTAAGAACAGTGGCTGAAGAAATAAGCTCATAGGTCATATTTTCACTTTCAGCAACACAGAAAAGTACTTCCTCTCTGTTGAGATTCATCATTTTATATTTAGAAGGGTCCAGATCTTTGACACCTACATGTCTTAGTGAATGTTTTGAATTCCACCCTTCAATAAACTGAGCAATAAATTTACTCCTCCCACAGATAATCTGCAGAAATCTTGCACTAAATTACAGAACCTCCTTATCGATACAAATACATAAAGGGCTGTATTCAAAGGAATAAAGATAACAAAGTTCTAAAATCACTAGACCTAAATACTATTTGACAAACTAGCTGCCGTGATCTAGAACTACCAAACAATAGACCATGAGCACTATAGCTATCTAAAGGCAGCATTATTTCTACAATAAAGTATACACAAACTAATTCTCAGGTAACTAAGTGGAAGATATTCAAAGCCAGCAAAATTCCTGCAAATTAGCTATACACAAACTAATTCTCAGGTAACTAAGCGGAAGAATTTACATTTCATGATTTCTATCATAAAAGTACCTTAGTTTCGCAAGCAGTGACGTCATAGCTGAGCAATCCCTTTGCTGCACGATCTTCCCACTGAATATTGCAGCAATGGAACTCGGAAGTAGTTCTAAAACAAAAAGAAATGCACGAACACTCAAAGATGTTCACAATGCACTTACCTGAGCAAGCAGGAGAGTATCGATTAAACTATGCTCTTCAGTGAAACCAGAACATCCCCCATGGTTTTCATTACTATTTGCATTTTTGTGCCCGAATTTGTAAAGAGGAACACTAATACCTGCTAAACAACTGACTGTTAGAAAACAAAGCTGGAAAGACACGGGTACTTCTTTATTCCTGATAACAAACAGACCATCGTCAAACTGACGAGCCATGAAATATTTGAACTTCATGATTCAATATCACGCTTCAGTAAGAATCACAATCATCCTAATACTTTATAAGGAACAAATCCAGCACCACAAATTCCAAAGGTTTCCAATTAAAACACTCAAACTAAACCATACAATTACTTAGTGAATACCAGTGAATACCAATAGGGCCTCCAACATAGTATGGATAACATCCAAATGTACATGATAAAAAAGAAAACACTAATTTCAAATAGACGTAATACTCAAATATACCAACCTCTATTTGACACTTGCAGGCCTTTGGAGTAGTCCAAAAGAGGACTTTGCTTCACCAATGACTGCTGTTCTCCAATTTGCTTGATTAAAACCATAATTTTTACACAAACTCGCTTAATGTGCTAAATCAATTATTATGTAAAAACAAAAAAGAAACAGAGCCTCCTTTAAAGTCCACCACCAGCAAGGAAGGTAAGATCAGCTGGATGCCCCCCAGCAGAAGGTAGGGCACCCCTACCACCGTGAAATGTAGGAGAGGCAAGCAAAAATTTAGGGCAATCCTGTGCACATTCTCGCCCCCTTCTTATGTCAACACCGAAAATTTTGCTTAGAGCCGTGATGGAATTCGTGTAGCCAGCCCTAATTGGACCGGCAAATTCGATTACCAACCTGAATGGTTAGAATTAGAGAACCTTCAAAGACTTTCTCCAATATGGTAATTTCCCACCGTATGCAAATAATCAACAATTAAGTCACTTTCTTTGAGGAACATTGAGGCTTTGGGCCCGATATAAATGTGCAACTCCTTCTGCCTTGTTGTGAAGTGGTATGCTCATTGATTGAAATTATATATCCTTCTTCAGAATATCTGGAAATTTCTGAAAGTAAACAAAATGTTTATGGGTTTAAAACAATCCAATATTATGTGGTAATTGAATAAGCTGAAAGTAAATACCAGACTTTATTTTAATTTATCCCAGAACAAAAGATTCTCTGGGGAAGAAACATCATGAGAAATCCCAAGCTCTCAACCCATCCAAAGACCGTAGAATCTCTTCAAAATACACAGTGGTCTCTAATAAATTATTTAATTCCTCTTTCATTTTTCTCAATAATAAAACATGTGAGCTGCAACTATAGGAAATCAAGAACTCAATAATAAGTAAATTAGAAGAAAAAAAATACACCAAGGCAATGTCAATTCTACTAGACAAAAACGTCAATGATTTCTCATGAAACATTCTTACAGACAGCAATACAAAACATACGAGAAATATAATGATACAACACCATTATTAGCATCCTCATCATTAACCATTGTTATAAGCACCATCTTTACTATACTTCAAAATGATAAAATTGTTTGATAGTTCTGAAGTTTGATTGTTTACTTCAGAACAAGAATACTGTTCAATACAGTAAATTAGTAGTATTGTTATCATTAAAACACTATGCCAATGAATAATGATGATGATGGTAAGAAAAAGAACAAAATTAATGATAAAGAAGAGACTGAAATGATATGTGAATAAATTCAATGCCCTTATAGCTTCAAACTAAAAAGAAGAAGAAATTTCTATGGACAATTACACCGTTTCCTACATATTTACCTCCCCCCCCCCCCCCCCCCCCACCAATTTCATTTTAAACCAACAAATTCATTCTTCAACAAAGACTCTTAAGTAATGCAAGACCCTAAATTCTTCAACCTAAACTAAGACAATAAAATTATCTGGGTAATTCAGCACATTCTCAAAAAATAATAGTCTTCTTCTTCTATTTAAACCAACTATAAAACAAATTACTGGATAAACATAAACAAGCAATCTTTAAACTTCCAGTAAACATTACCCCTTGAAGTTTAAGGTGTCAAGACTAAACTTGTGCTTGGGACTCAGCCCTTGCCTTGAGCCGAGCAATTTGGGTGAGTCCGAGTGGACTTGCTTGAGTTCTGCCCGAGCCCTACAAAGGGCCCAAAGCAAAAAAATACAAAAAATTGGGGGAAAATAGGAAAAATCATAAAAATCCAAGAAAATAGTGTGTGTGTGTGTCTATATATATATATATATATATATATATATATCGATGTTATTGGCTTAATAAATAATAGAAACTATAAGAAAATGATAAAATAAGAAAAAAGAGAATAACTAAAAATCCAGAAACAAGATCCGTAATTAACTTTTCCATTTTTTGGAGGAAAAATTAACTTTTCTATTTTTTGGAGGAACTAGCTTATGAATGGATCCTTAAAAAAAAGATGATCCTAGGTTTTGATTTTTATCAAAGATCAGTGATGAGTGAAAAACTACACATTAGATAGGAGAAAGAATAATCAAGAAAGAGAGGAGTAAAAGCACAGAACATGTGTGAGAATCCTAGGTAAGTTATGACTCCTAACAACTTGCAATACAACACAACTTCCGACCTGTTTAATTCTTAAAACATTTCCCACATTTCACACTGACATATGCACCAACTCTGGTTTGAATTCTCTCCATAATTACATGGCATAGAAACCAGCAGTCCATGCTAGATGAGTTGGACTTGTAGGAGCCACCAACTGCTTATGTAACCTAAGATTAGATAGTCGCTAATCTTCGATTAGAAGACCCTAAAAAATATTTGGAAAACACTTTAATTCATCATCACCAACATCAAAACCTTCTACCTACTAGTTGGGGTCGGCTACATAAATCCTGATCTGCCATTCTGCTCTATCAAGGGCTAAACCCTTAGTCAGACCATAACTAACTATATCTCTTCTCACCACTTCCATCCATGTCCTTTTGGGCATTCCCCTTTCATTTAAGAGCCTTCCACTTGAACAAAATCGCCCCTCATAACTGGTGTTGTATTAAGTCTACGCTGCATATAGCCAGCCCACCTGCGTCTACTATCTCTCATCTTATCGCCTATTGAAGCCACCCTTAAGTTCCATCCTATGTATTCATTCTAAGCTCTATCCTTTATTGTCTTGTCATTCATCCATCTCAGCATCCTCATGTCAGCCATACTCATCCCATGGAGTTGTTTCTTGACCGCCCAACATTCTGTCCTATAAAGCATGGCTGGTCTTACAGCCATCTTATAGATCACATAAAACTCCGGATGCACATCTTCACTTCGCCCACCCAACTCTAATTGTAGTATAACCTTGCTTGGTGTTTTAGGTGTTGTCTTAGGGTTAATAGAGAGTCGATGAGACTTGTTTGGTTGCTGCCCCAAAGCTCTCAACTTAGGAGCTTTGCTCAAGTGATTGTCTTGAGCATAGGAAGTGTCTTTAGGTCTTGGAAAGTTCATATAGGGGTTAGGTGAGTTCACAATCTATGGCAAAGTGAACCAGGATTGTCGTCGAAGCTGTGGTCGTGCCCAAGGCTGTGAGCAGGTTCAAGTTAGGGTGCTTGGCAGCAAACTATCCAACAAAGGCTTGATCCACATATCCCTACAACAGTTTAGGGAGCAATTGGCCTAAATTGTGCAGGCTGTAGGTGTTAGGGCCGCATTTCCCCTAACCCTTTGCAAAAGTATTATGAGAAACCTAGGCAATACTGTAAAGGAGAGAGGATCGTGGATAGATTGGCTAGGGCATTCGAAGGATCCCGTGGATATGGGATTAACGTCGATGTAGAGGGCTATCGTGGACATCTGGATCTCGATGAGTTCCTCAGGTGGTTAGAGAGTGTCAACATTCTTTGAATGGAAGGATCTTCGTGAGGATAGGAAGGTGAAGGCTGCTACCATGAAGCTGAAAGGCTCTGTACTAATATGGTGGAAGCAACTTCAAGAGTGTAGAGTTAGGCAAGGCAAGGAGAAGGTTAGCACTTGGACCCAAATGAAAGAGAAGCTTTGATGAAAATACTTACCATCTGATTCTCATAAGACACTTTATTGAAAACTACTAGCTTTGAAGTAGGGCACCAAAATCCGTGAGAGAATATACACAGAAGAGTTTTGTCTGTTGACTACACGTAATGGTCACTAGGAGGATGATGAGCAAGCCATGGCTTGATATTTATTCAGGCTACATTATCAGATCCAAGATCAAGTTTCACTTCATAGTTCATACCTTATCATGTGTTGACGATGGCTATCAACTTGCTTTGAAAGTTGACAAGCATTTCCAAAGTCCTGTGAATAGAAGGGAGAATCTTGACTGTGGGGCATCAACTTCGTCTGGAAAGGCTCAAGCAGCTGAATATGCTAAAGCTAGTACACCCTCTGTAGAACCATCATCCTAGGCGTCGGGACATGATGAGCCTTTTTTGGCCCCAAGCCAAAAAAATAAGCACTTTTTAAATGCTTCAAGTGGAGAAGTGGGCCATATATAGGCTGAATGACGTATAAAGGCTGAATGCCATCATAGATCGTATAACCCCAAAATCACTTGGTCAAATAAGAGATGAGGAAATTTAGAGGGTGAAGATGACCACCAGGTAGAGTCGATTAGGGTGAGGATTTAGGAGACAATGGACAGGATGATGATCCTAAAACAATGGTTGCCTGAGATACCCGAGGGAAGACACTTGTCATCCATAAGATTATGATGTCTCCGAAGGTCCCTGAAGTTGAATGGTGGTTACAGTGCAATATTTTCCACACTACCTGCACAGCTAGAAGGAAGTCGTGCATGATAGTTAGTGATTGTTGAAGTACTAAGAATCTGGTTTCTCAAGAGATGGTTGACAAGCTTTGCTTGAAGACTAAAAGGCCTTACAACATCACATGGTTTAAACGAGGAAATAAGATCCCTATTAGATCGAGGTGTCTTGTGTTTCTCAACTAGGACAGCCTATAACGATCTTGTGCAATATACTCCCTCATAACATATGTCACATTTTTCTTGACCACCCATGGCAATTTGATAGGAAAATACACCATGACTGTGAGAAGAACACATACTCCTTCACTGAGGATACACCTTCCATAAAAGGATGTGTTAAAACCCAAAAAGGGAGTAGGAAATCACTAGATCCTCAAAAGGAGAGGAGAAATGTGTCAATCCTTTTGAATTGAGCGCAATTTGAGGTGGAAAAGTAAGAAGACTCAAGGAGTAAGAGTTCTTGTGTCAAAGAACAAGGTAGAGAGTCCACCAATTCCACGAGAGGTTTACTCCCTCTTGGAGGAATTTAGTGAGTCACTCCAGAAGAGCTTCATGATGCCTTTTTCTTAAAAAGATACACAACATTGTATGGATCTCATTCATGGAGTCAATCTCCTACACTTGGCCCATTATTTGATGAGTCCAGTGGAGCACAAAAGTTGCATAGGCAGGTCAGAGAACTGCTAAGAAAATGACTTCTACAATAAAATTTGAGTCTGTGTAGTCCTTGCACTCTTAATTTCAGAAAAAGATGGTACATGGAGAATGTGACGATAATCATGCAATTAATAAGATTACCATCAAGTATATGGTTCCCATACCTAGGCTTGATGAAGTGTTGGATATGTTGAGTAGCACTCATATTTTCTCCAAGATTGACCTCAGGAGTAAATACCATCAGATTCATATTCGACCTAGAAATGATTGTAAAACAACCTTCAAGACTCGTGAGGGTCTTTATGAGTGGCTAATCATGCCATTTGGTTTGTCCAATGCACCGGGCACATTTATGCATTTAATGACTTAAGATTTACAACCATTCGTTGGAAAATTTGTGATTGTATACTTTGATAATATTATGATACAGAATATTAGCCAAGATGATCATTTAGTACACTTGCAGCGGGTACTAGAGATCTGAAGGGAGAACAAGCTGCATGTCAACCTTAAGAAGTGCACCTCCTTGACTGGAAGTTTGATTTTTCTGGGCTGTGTATTGGGGACCAAGGTTGATTAAACTAAGGTGGAAGCCATCAAGAGCTAGCTGACCTTGAGTTCCATTGGTGATGTGCACAATTTCATGGTGTTTCTCTTGCTTCGTTTTATTGGAGATTTATCTAAATTTTAGCATTGTAATCACCAAAATCACTAATTGCATGAAGAAATGGGTATTTAAATGGATCCCAGAGGTAGAAGAAAGTTTCCAACTTGTAAAGCCCAAGATGACAAGTGCACCAATGTTTGCTCTTCCAGATTTTGAGAAGGCCTTTGAGGTGGATTGTGATGTGTACCATGTTGGGATAGGGGCTGTGTTGAGACAGGGGGCATGTCTCGTGTCACTCTTTAGTGAAAAATTTGAATGATGCTAGCTCGCATTACTTGACATACGATGATGAAATCTATGCGATGGTTCAAGCTCTTCGAAACTGGAGGCATTATCTGATTTAGAGGAGGTTATACTGTATTCAGGTCATGAGGCATTGAGCTATGTTAACTCTCAGCGTACATTAGATACCCGATATGCCAAATGGATCACATTCTTACAAGAATACACATTTACCTTTAAGCACAAATCCGGATTTCACATTAAAGTGGCCAATGCCTTGAGAATATTGTTTCATACAGAGCTGGATTTTCAGTCCTTTAAGGACTAGTATGCTATTGATCCACACTTTGGTCCTATATGGGAGTCTTGTAAGTCTAATAGTATGGATCCTACTTCTATGTTTTTTATCCATGATAGACTTCTGTTCCATGGAACTTGATTGTGACCACCAGAGAGTTCTCTTTTCACGAGAACATCATTCTTTAGCTGCATGGAGGGGGCCTTGCTGGACATTTTGGTCAAGCTAAGACCATTGTGTTAGTGGAGAAGATGTATTTTTGGCCAAGGTTGAGGCGCAAAATGAAGCATTATGTGGAATGTTGTCACGTTCGTCAGGTTTTTAAAGGTTAGTCCTAGAATACCGGCCTCTACAATCCACTCCCCATCTCAAATGCTCCTTGAGAAGACATCAGTATGGACTTTGTGTTAAGTTTTCCGAGAAATGCTAGGAGGTATGATTTTCGTGTTTGTAGTGGTGAATTATTTTTCTGAAATGGTCCATTTCATTCCCTGTCCTCTAATGCATTTCATGTTGCAGATCTTTTCTTTAGAGAATCTGATCATCTTCATGGTGTACCTAAGTAGATCACCTTTGCTTGGGATACCAGATTCCTAACTCGTTTTTGGAGAATACTATGGTCAAAACCATGTACAAACTCTGTAGTTTAGCTGTGTATATCATCCTCAAATTAATGGGTAGACTAATGTAATTAACTGTACTTTGGGAAATTTGTTGAGTGTCTTGCAGGTGAGATGCCGCACTACCAAGTAATCTCCAGTAAACATTACACCTTGAACCTGAGTCCGAAAATAAAGTAATGATTTCTGCAAACAATATTGAAAATACTCACAAAATGTTTTCTCGAATCAGAACCATGCACATAAATGAAATTGTCAAGGGAAAACCAGACGTTCTTCAACTGAATCAAGCCCCAGTTTCCCTGATCTCACCCTAGATTCTTTTTAGATAAAATCTATTACACATATTAATGGACCCCAATTCAACAAGGGTTTAATTTAGCAGGAATTTCATAAAATCTACTAATAAATCCATATAAGTATTAATGCGGTTATCAGGCGCTTAAGGCAATACCAATTTTCCGTATGAAAAAATAACAAATTCAACGAAACATCAGTTTAACAGGAATAGGAGGTGTATCCTTGAAGTGCTAAAATCTGTGTAAAAAACCCTTGCAATCCTCAGATGAATTCAGATATACACTTGAAAAAAGTTCAAGTATTCAACACAAAGCATCAATTCCACATGAATTGCAGGTGCAGAATTAATCAATGTGGAACTCAAATAAAATTCAAATAAAAGTAACAAATAAAAAAAAGCTTATAATCTCTATGAAGAATTCAAATATAAACCCTAAAGAGACATAATGAATAATACCTAATTAAAATGGAGATGGAAAGAAAAAAATACTAGAGATTTACGCACAAGACAGAGTCAGAGAGATTTCCTTTGCCGTTGCGTAAAATAATTGGTTCCAATGTGTGGCAGGATCGAGAAGTCGGAGAGAGAGTTGCAAAAGAGGTATTATAAAAGGGTGTGGTTTGCATATGGTTGCAAGTTTCAACCTTAAACCAACCAATCAAGCCGCACCTCTAAATTTTATCATAAATGTAATTTTGATATATAAAAAATTATTAGGATGGATTGAAAATCTATTTTCTGATTATGAAATTTTAAAATTCTAAAAATAGTTCAAATCAAATAGCTATATAAACACAAAAATCTTGAAAATGTACTTTCTAGGTAATATGTTGCAAGATACATTATTTCTTGGACTTGAAGTCTTCTTTTTTGTATTCATACATCTTGAAGTGGATATGATCAATTAGATGGTTTTCCACCATCCAAACAACATTTTATGATGGAGTTTTTAAGTGCACCTTTAATTCTATATTTTAAGGTTGCAACCTTATCTAAACTTTTTGTATTATAAAATGAGTGAGGTTTGTACAAGGTGACAACCTTATACTACTGAAATAAGGTGCATCTCAAAATTATGTTGAAGATATAGTTTTGGAATCACAAAGCCTTGCGATGAAATGAAAAATCTATTGTTGTTCCCAATTATGAAATTTAAAGTTCTAGAAATGATAACGATAAAGAAGATCTATAAACAATTGAAAATCTTGAAAATGGACTGTTCAAATAATGTGTTAAAAGAACTATTTTTAGAAATTGAAATCCTTTTTTTTTCATGTCTATGAATCTCAACGGAGATGATCGTTTTGAGAGTTTTCTTACATAAAAACAACATTCTCTACTGAGTGGGTTTTTTAAGTGCACCTTATTACTTTATATAAACATTTTCTTCATAACATACATTGTAAAAAGGGGAAAAGTTTATATAGAGTTGAGGTTCTAAACAATTAAATTAGAGCCTACCTCAAAAATTTCACTAGAAGATATTATTTTGATGCTAAAATATCCTCAAATTGATCATCTCGACATCAAGATGCATGAACATGAGAAAACAATGGATTTCAAAATTTGAAAATAGTGTATTTTATAATGCATTTTTGGACCGTCAATTTTCAAGATTTTCAAGTTTTCATGGATCTATCGATCTACACTATTTTTGAAACTTTTAACTTTATCAATTGAAATGAAAATATATTTTAAGGCTATTACAAAGATTTCCAATTTTGGAACTACATTTCCCAACATTATTTGAAGGTAGACTCTAATTTGATTGCTTAGAGTCTAGGCTCTCTAAAAACCGCACCCAAAAAAAAAACCAAGGTTTTCTAGTTTCTCACCTTAAAAAAAATTTTCTTATAAAAGATATTTGAAAGAAAGTTGCAAAGTATGTCCCCAACATTTTATAGAAGAACCTTTTGGTCTTTATCTATTTTCAAGTGGATGACCTCCCAAATGGAGGAATCAAATTAGGGTGGCCACCGGCCCTGGGATCTACCCGAACCAGTCGATGGTGGACTTGGTAGCTTGGGGACTGTGTCCAAATGACTTGGATCTGACAGGGGTTGGACGGGTTGAGATCTGCCTTGGACCGTATTGCGTCGGATAGAAAAAGCTGGGATTAGCCCACTAGTTCATGTGAACATATGAGCCCAACGGTTTAGATTAAATCTAGGCCGATCTGACGATCACGAATGTCTAATAATGCTATAGTTTTATTTATTTTTCTATAAATCCAAATCACTTGAAGTTTTAGGTATGTATCATTCTCATCAAGGTGCACCTAATAACAATATATATAAAAAAAATTTCGTGAAAAAAAAATGATCAAATTACCCCCCGAAAAGTTTTTGGGGTATTTTGATCAATTTATTTCATGTAAAATATTTTTTTGATATTTTTTGAAGATTTACTTATTTTTTATAAACACACGCCTAAAATTTCAAGTGATTTGTATTTGTAAAAAAAAATAAAATTCAAACACTACTGGATATCCGTGATCGTCAGATTGGTCCAGATTCAATATGAGTGGATGGGCTCATATGTTCTGATGTTGAGGTTATGAACTGCACAAGACATAGGGCAGTCAGATATCTTAACTATTGGTTTGTCCCTTAAATATCAAAAAGAAACATCGAATCAAAAGCAAAAGTAGAAAAATAAAAAAACACACAAGGATCTCACTATAAAATTTGTAAAAATGTAGAGAAGAGATAATGTCATAATATTTATCTTTCCGAGCGTAAATTATTCAATAATGAAAAATGAATATAAAGTGTAGATGCGCATGCCATCAATGTCTTTCTATTATTTTCGTAGACCAGTAGCTATCTCAGTCCTTTTTATACTCGGAAGTTGGAAACAAACTCAAAGTCCTCATTGTTATTGTGAGTTGTTACCTCACTCTATTATTCTCATTTGAAGGCAACGTGGAGGCATGGTCTTCCTCTCTACTACATCATCAAGTGGTCATGTGCAAGGTACATAAGATCTCTTATTTTAACTCTTCTTCTTCTTCCAAATGAATGGTACATTTTTACAAAAAAAAAAAGGAATATGGAAAATTTACAGAATTATTCTTTGGTCTATATTTTCAGCAAATTTTACGATGAGATCCACTTTTTTCTTCTCTTGTCTCTTTCTTCTTCTACTTTTTTGTTTTTTTTTCTAGGTTTACAACCAGTTTGATATTTAAAACATCAAGCCGGTTTATTTTTAAAATTTTTAGCAATTGTGGAGAAGTTTGATTGATTAGAGATTGAACCACCCTATTTCTCTTATGTTACATACATCAGACTGGTACTTTAGCTTTCTTTTTTTCCTTTTTTCTTTTTAATGTATTGGTCCCATAATTGGAACATTAGACCACCCATAGTAATAATAGATTACATCATAGTGCCGTCCGACGTTGTCTTTAGGGAACTGCCCTAGAAATAGGGTAGTCCGATATCTTATTTATTGCATTGCCCTACAAATGCTAAAAGAAAATTTTCTAAATCTCATTTCTTTGTGTTTGAAAAAAATAGTATCTTAAGATTAGATCGAGAAAACTTCCTCCAAGTTGATCTTTTGCCTCATGGAGTAAGTGTACAGGATTCTCCTTAACCAGAATTACAGTTATGCATATCAAAATCTCTCTCTTGTCACAATCTCATCTTGAAAAAAATATACAAAAGAGACCATTTACTTTTATGGACACTGAATCTAATTAATATAGGGGTAACAAGTATAAAACAAGCATCATCTTGAGATAGCACTTTTAGCATGCCTGAAAATAAGAAGACTTTCCATGAACCTTAATTTATAAGAAGATTTTTATAACCCCAGTTGCTCCCACACCTCGATTATATTTTCTGACAAGACTTGGGCAAAAACTTATCCATTAATGGGTTCACATGGACAGTTAAATTGGTCCCATAATTTATTAAGCATTCGAATAAAATATCATCAAGTAGGGTACATAAAATAAAAGTGGTTCCACAATTCTGGTGACAAGCCGATATCAGAACGTATGCATCGCCATGGGGGATGATTCCCCAGTAAAAGTCGATATTTTATCAGACACTCAGTCCTGCAGCCTATTTTTTAAAGCAGCTGGAATCCGCAATCCATCTCCATCAATACATCACCATGCTGAAATTATATTTAGATGGTGTACGGGTCTACCCCTCGCCATCTCCACAGTTGCACGAGCTATGGCAGGCAGACAAACAGAAGGGGCTTGGAAGAATGCTATAAGAAAGCTTGAGGAATTAGCTTCAACCCTCGACGGTAAGGTATGAAAGAAAAAAGTGTTCATTCCTTTAAAGTTAAGCTATGATTCCGTAGATAATAAACTCAAGTCTCTCTTCCTTTACTCTGCCATATTCCCTGAGGATTACTCCATAAGTAAATCTCATATATTAGAGAAGGATTGGTCGATGAACTAGGTAGTTTGGAAGCCACAAGGAACGAAGTTGATTGTTTGATTGATAGAGGTATGTGCATGTTGGAAAATGGAGATGAATTAGGCAGGGTAAGGATGAATGATGTGATGCGATGCGATGCGGGCCTTCGCTCTGTGGATCACCTCGCCCGACTCAAAGGAAGGCCCTAAGTTCTTGGTGCGGGCCCATGCTGCATCAAATTACTTAAATCTATTACATTTGATCATATTGAAAAAGAGCATGGGATGTAATTTGAATAGAAGATGTGTCTCTCTCCCGTGGAGCCCCCCCACTCCCCTTTTTTAGCTCTTACTTTGCCCCAAAGAACTGTACCTCTCTCTTTCTCTCTCTCTCTCAATAGGGGTGAGAACGGGTTGGATTGAGGCCGGATCCAAATCTGAATTCAAATAGTATACATCAGATCTGGATCTAGATCTAATTGAGTCTTGAATATTCAGATCCGGATCTAAATACACAATTTTATATCAAATCCGAATCCGGATCCGGATTTACTTCCAATTTTTAAATGTGATGAAAGACTATTTTGCCCTTTTCATGCGTTTTGGTCCCTATCCGAGAATCCAGGTTTATTTATTCGCTCATTTTCACGCGTTTGGCCCTCAAAAAATACCCTCCACCAAGAATTCCAGATTGTGGAAAAAGATTTGGTCGTCTCACATTGAACGTTGGGCACCAATGTTTCAATTTCAATTTTCAAAGGTTTGCATGCAATCATTTCCAAGATAATCAGCTTAGACTAATATGACCCAATCGCATATTGAATTAAACCTTAAAAAAAAACAATTAAGTCAAAACCAGAAATAAATAACCCAATACATACATAGTCATTATCCTCCCAAACATGAGAGAGAAAACCACTTATCCTACTACCCAATAAGAGATACAAATCACCTAGCTCGTAGAGAGAGAAAACCACTTGTCTTAGATACCTAAACAAGACAAAAACCAAGTAGTTTTTAGAGAGAGAAAACATCTTTTGCTCAACTAACTCCTTCCACATACACAAGCATTTTGGCCTACGTACCCAGTGATCAATAACCCAAAGTATAACCATAGTCCATTGGAGCACCAAATGAAAAAAAAAATCAAAGTTACAATATATCAAAATCCAAAACAGAGAGAACCCCAGGATCCAACATATGTAGCAAAGGACAATGATGCAATTATGTGAACTGAGATAACAGTCTTCCAATTGAACCATAAGAAAGAAGCATTAGTACAATCTGCAGCC